CAGCAGCAAAGAAAAACCATGGCTCTAATCGTGCATGTTGCAATGAAACCAGGGTCTGCTATGCATTTTTAAGAGAATCTGATTCTCTGTAGAGATGAGTAGGAGCTGGAGATACTGGATGAAAGGAATTACTGAAAAATAACTTCTAGTTTATAAAGTCCTTAAGCACATTTGAATTCATTTTTTTTTCCTCCAGCAGTGCAGAGTGAAACATTTTCCTTGGTTGTTTTGTTGACAGTTTCTCTTGGATTCTAAGTCATTTCAGGGTTTTGTTACCGTTCTTGATTAAGTTGAACATCTAAAGTTTCTGTTGTTTCCCTGAGGGACCAAGAGTGACATAGCTGTAAATTGCCTGTGCCTGGTACTACAGTCTGGAAGAGCTTGTCCCGTGTTGTATCAGGCTGCCGTGCTGACCCTTCTGGGAGGCTTTGCCCTCTGTCGGTATGGCTTTGGAGTTAGGCTGGGTTTGAGTTCTGCTTTTTTACATGTGTGTGCTTGGGTGAGCTGCTTAAGCCCTCTGAATTGTTCCTGTAAGATGGCTCATAATAAACCTTATAAGGTGTAGTGCCTGAAATAAAAGTAGAACCCTTGAGGCACAGCCGTCAGTGTGATGTGAACCTTTAGTTCTGTTTATCTAAACTTAATCATTCTGTGTAACCCCCCCATCTCCCTTTAATAACAAATCTTTGAACTGTTTCTCATTTTCCAACATAGCATTTCCACGTGGGCATTAACTAGTTGTATGTCAGTGCAATGCCTGTAGCCATGTTTCTTGTTTTAGGCCCTTCTGAGTGTGTTATCTGGCTGTAGAATTCTGGAAATCAGGCACATTATGCAAGCATTCCTACATAGGATCCTCCTGTGAGCTTCGCTCCTGAAGCTGAGTGCGGCCATAACTACATCTGAATCCACCCTCTGTGTCTTTTTTCTGCTCCCTGCTCTGCTTGCCCTGATCAAATCCTGGTAATTGGTGCTCACCCGACAAATTCTGCAGGTGTTCAGCCCCTGTCTGGTCTGTATGGCCACAGAGGCCTTGCGATCTTATACAACAGCTGCTTCTTAATCTGTTCTCCACAGACCCTGCAGCAAGACTGATTTTTTTGTTTTGCTTTGATTTGGAGTTTTTTGAGACAGGTCTCACTCACTACATAGCCCCAGCTGTCCTGGAACTCATTATGTCGATTAGGCTGGCCTCAATCTCGAGAGATCCGCCTGCTTCTGCCTTCTGAGTGCTGGGACCAAAGGTGTGCGCACCACACGCAGGCCAAGACTGACTTTTGAGAAGTGGATTGACATAGCCTCCTGATTACCATCTTTAGGTCTTTGGACTGGCATACTTTTCTTGCTAATTCACATGACTTGGCATTTACTCGTGGGCACCTGGGACAATCTGTCTTTGCCTCACAGGATTAAGTAATACAGTTTGGAGCTGACCTTTTGCCTCGTAAAATGGGGCTAGAGCATCTTTCATAAATCTGGAATGTTCCTTGGAAATGTAATTCTCACTAACCCTGGTCCAAGTGTCCTATTCTATGAAAGCACATTCTTGTTTGTTTGGTATAACAAATGCATTTGATGCTTGTCATAGCACTGGGGGGACAACTGAACAGGAACACATGCCTGCTATTCATGGGTCAGCTTGAGCACATCCATTTCACAGCATAAGTAAATACAGTTTTACTAAACACAAGGCAAATGTAAGAAAATTTCTATTACATTTAAAAGCAGAATGTCCTAATTCAACGCGAGAGTTGAAGGAGTTCCCTTTATTTAAAAAAAGAAAAGCTGCGCATGGTGGAGTTCGAGGCCAACTTGCTCTACATAGTGAGTTTCAGGCCAGCTGGGGCTACAGGGAGACCAAAAAAAAAGAAGAAAAAGAAGAGGAGAAAGCTGTGGCAGTGTACCTCATAATCCCAGCACCTGGGATTTGAAGTAGGAGGATCTTAAATTCAAGGCCAACCTGAGTTACATATCAAGACCCTGTGTGTGTGTGTGTGTGTGTGTGTGTGTGTATGCACATAAGTAGATGCTAATGTCAACAAAATATAGCCAGCTACTCGGAGTAGGAATAAACAGGTTTTGACTTTGAGCTGTGGCTTGCCCAGTGTGATCCTGTGTGAGCCAGTGAGCTGTGCTCTAAGACAGGATCAACTGTTGTACTTTTGACATCTTTTGAGTTGTATGACAGACCTTAATACCACTCATTGAACTCTGTCAGACAGCACTAGAGACTGCATTGCTGTTGAACAGAGACTCTTGAAGGTGGTTTGTTTTCACTTTGGGGCTGAGCAGGTTGGGGCTGGGCCTGGTAAAGTAATTGACCTGAGGTCACAGAGCTTGCCCAGGGCCGCTGTGCTGCCCTCAGTGTCCTTCACACCGGTGTCAGGAGAGGCCATCCTCCAGGTTTGGAAGTCTTGTCTTTCTTGTCGGATATTTAAGAAGAAAGGCACAGCTATTAGAACCTCAAAGACTTGCTGGAAGTCCCTGGAGCTTCTCATATTTGTAAACCATCACCTAAATGTGGCACTTGAGGCTTGTTTTTACTTGTATGTGTTGATGTGCACTGTATATGTTGATGTGAGCTGTTCAGAATAATTTCTAATTTTGATTTTAGAAACAGATTAAACTTAGCCCTGACAACTCTACTGGAAATAGGAGCCTTGTTAAATGTTAAATGTAAGCTGAGGTGACATCTTCGCTATGGTCAGTCAAGAAGTTTTTGGGTTGTTGGTAAAATGAGAAGAATCCTGTTTTGTTTTTGTTTCTTTTTTTTTTTTTTTTAATCCCAAAAGGTCTTGCTGTGTTGTCCAGGCTAGCCTTAGACCATCTGGGCTCTTCTGTTACCTCAGCCTCAGAAATAGCTGGTGCTGCAGATCCATAGTCCTCCTGTATTGTTTGCTGTTTTGAGGTAGGGTCTCACTCTGTAGCCCTGGCTGGCCTGGAACTCAACTATATAGAGTAGGCTGACCTTGAACTCACAGAGATCAGCCTGCTATCAAGGGCTGGGACTAAAGGTATGTACTATGATGCCCTTAAGTTTTTGTTTTTTTTTTTTTTTTAAGCAGGACTGTTTCAAAGTGAATTTCTAATGACTTTCTGTTGTTTCTCTGGGAACACTGCTCCTCTCTAATTGAAAGCACATTGGCAACTGCAGCTTTTGCAGCGTGCATCCTACAGGAGTATGTGCTGGTCCAACTTGTTCTGTTCAGAGGCTAATATCCAAGATAGACTTCTGCAATCAGATCATAGCCTGATTAGTAATTCTTGCTAGGTGTATTTCCTTCAAATTATTCATAGTGAAGTGAGGCTTTATGCCTAATCTGTAGCATGGTGAGAAGAGATTGTAAATGTGAAATGAAGTTGTGTTGGGTAGCCACGATGTGATGCTTATCCTCCATGGTGGCTTAAGGTGTACACTGGGCACCTTTGTCATCTTTTATGCAACATCCACTTAGGCATAAGATAAAGTGATACTGTGTATAGAGTTGTTGAGAGCAGAGTTCTTTTTCCTTTTGTCATTAAATCAGTATCGATGGGCCAGAGAGGTGACTCAGCCAGCAAAGGCACTTGAGTTCCATCCCCAGGATCCACATGGCCAGAAAGATTCTACTCCTGCAAGTTGTCCTCTGACCTACACGCACACACATAAATCAATGTACTAAAAACACAGTATCAGATGGCCAGTTAAGAAATGACTCCTCCCTGAAAAACATGTGTTTATCTGCTAGCTAGTTTTATAATGCCTTTTGGGTACCAAGAATTAAATCGCAAGGTTGGATTGATTTGGAATGATTTCTTTTTGAAAGAATTTGTGCCAATTCTTTTTCCTTTCCAAAAGAAATGGCTACCGAAAACATGGGTCCTGAGCCTGATGTCAGTTCCTCAAGGTTCCACTGTTGTGGTTTTTTTTCCCCCTTGTCTCCGCTTCTGACAACCTGACTTTGCCTCACAGGTGTGTGCTGGTGTCAGACCTTCCTTTACTCTAGGGTTAGCCGTCATTTCAGGCTGCCTGATCTAAGAGCAGGCTCAAACCAGGGAGACAAGTTTTATGAACTGTATTTGCTGCTAAATTTGCTTCCAGAGGAGGCAAAAAATGCTTTGTATTTTTCCCTTTGGCTTTTTCCTCCATGGAGCTTGTCTTGCAATAAGAAAAAGCAGCCAGCGGCAGAGGACCCCTCTCTTTTCCATGTTGGTTTGTTTTTATTGTAATCAGACCTTTCATGTTTTGTTGTTAGAAAGTTTAAGCCCGGCCTGGAGGTGCGGGTCTTTAGTGGAAACAGCTGCAGAGTCGGGTGTCCCCTGGTCAGGTGGGACTTTTCTTTGAAGCAATATGCTGCCTTTTAAAGGAGACTTGAGCATGTGAGAGCTTGACTCTGCAAAACCCATCAGCATTCCACCATTGTTTATCTCTGAAGGAACTGAACTAAGATCCTAACTGTAAGTAAAACATTGCAATTTTTGAAATACCTTTTCATGTAGAGTTGTTTTGTTAGTAAAAATACAGAAAAAAGAAAAAAAAAAAGGTCACTGTTAAGAATGAAGGCGGAGGGGCATCACATTCAGTTCCTGAGAACTGCATCTGACTGGTCTGCTCTGGATTGTGAGCTGATGAGTGCCCGTGTGCTGGCTGGCCGGTGCCTGGACTCTAAACTTTTCTCATCTTTTTGATTGGGCGGTGCTGGTAGCAGTGGACTTCGAATCACTTTGGTCTCCTGCTAGGAAAAGTTGAGCATCAGAGAGCCTCTTTCCTTTGGGAAATAGAAGAGACAGGCATGGAGTCAGAGGGACAAGAAAAATGCTGAAATATTTTCCTTTTGGGCTTTTGATTTCTTTGCCAAAAAATTGCCTCCAGATGGAGAGGAGCAAAGGCTCTGATTGTGAGCCATTCTGTTTGTGCTGGCCTGCCTCCCCATCCCGTTGCCTGGTTTGGAATCCATAGGCCAGTCCAAGTCCTTTACCTCATTTTCTAGTACCAATTTACTGTCTTACTCATCTTCCAGCTGCAAGGGGTGAGGCAGGTCGCCTTGAAATTGACCCTTCTGCCGTTTTTTAAACCAGGCAATAGCAGGATCTTGGACTTGGATGTGGATAGCAGTGCCTCCGTTCTAGAAGTTCCTGGATTGCTCCCACCAGGTATACTTGTTTGTGTGGCGTGTGATGGGATGCGTCTGGGAAGGAATCTGAGCAAGCCCTTTGGTCTTGTGTGCGCTGGTTACTACCCTGGTTGCCTCATGCTTTAACTGTATCATACTTCACTTGTGCTGGTAATCTGGACACTCTGGTTTCCTTGGGAAGGTGGCATTGGTGAACTTGAAAATGAAGGGGATGCCATGTCTGGGTGCAGTGGGCACAGTGGCATTGGAGGCGAGCAGAATTGAGCCCACTTGACTGCTTGATAAGTAATCAGCAGTTTTTAGGCAAGTTATTTTCTGTATGGGAAATAACGAATGGTACCATATAAAGTTGTTTTGTGTGTTTGTTTGGGACAGGGTCTCCCTGTAGCCTCAGCTGGCTTGGAACTTGCTATGTAGACCACACTGGCCTCAATCTGGAGATCTGCCTGTCTGATTTTTTTTTTTTTTTTTTTTTTTTTTTTTTTTTTTTCTTGTTTTTTTTTTTTTTTTTTTTTTTTTTTTTTTACTTTTTGAGACATGATCTCATGTAGTCCAGTTGTTCAGGCTAGTCATGAACTTACTATGTAGCTAAGGATGGCCCTGAGCTTTTCATCCTCTTACCACCTCTCAAGTGTTGGGGTTTACAGGAGTGCAGCCGGGTGTGAACACACGCCTTTAATTCCAGCACTCCAAGGCAGAGGTAGGCGGAGCTAGAGAGATGGCTCAGTGGTTAAGAGCACTGGTTGCTCTTGCAGAAGACCTGGTTCAAATCCCAGTACCCACATGATGGCTAACAACTGTCTATAACTCCAGTTCCAGGGGATCTGACACCCTCTTCTGACCTCCAAGGGCATTTCGTGACATGGATGCACTTACATACATGCAGGCAATACACTCGTACACATAAAATTTTTAAAAATTTTTAATTTTTTTAAAAGGAAAATAATTTTCTTGGAAGGGAGGGAAGTTGCACTCATGTAACGCTCAGGTGTTAGTTCCTTTCCCCTTTCCGTACGCCAACCTGATCAGCTCCTTGGTGTGCTAACTGATAAACTACTTTCCCTCCATTTTATTAAATGGAAATTGAGGTGGCATTGAGTGATTGTCAGAGACTGCATTTTAAATTTGAACACCACAATAGTTCATAGCATAGTCTATTGGGTAGAGCCACATTAATGATTTTTTGTTGTTCTTGTTATTAGAATTCATATTGACATAGGGGCCAGCATCTGTTTAACTGTGGGGATGCATTCTGAGAAATGCATTGTTAGGCTGTTTCAGGACTGTATACCATCATGGTGTAGACCTACACAGACCCACGCAGATGGTGTAACTCACTGCACACCTAGGCTAAGTTATAGAGCTGTTGCTCCTGGGCTGTAAACCTGAATGACGTGTTACTGTACGGAATGCTGTAGGCATCTTGAAACACAATGGAAGTGTCTGTGTGGCCAAACACACCTGAACATAAAAAGATGTAGTAAAGCATAGGAGGAGAGAGAGAGAAAGCTCAAGACTTGAAGTTCGTGCTGGGTCTGAAGGCCTGGGTGCTACTGTAGACTCAGAGTGCATGTGCACTTGCTCTACCCTTTTTCACTCGAAGTCATCATTCTTCAACAATAAATTAATTTTATTTTATTAAAAAGAAATTTTTAAAAATGGTGTATTGAGTCCACTGGAAGGGCTGGTAGCTGGGCAGTGATGGGAGTATTGCCCAAAGCCTGACTCTTACTCTTTTGTGATTGCATTTAGCTTAGGATACAAACACGTTGTGAAGCAGAAGTATTTTCTTCATGTCTGTATTAGATAAGCTTTTTTTTTTTCTTTTTGAGTCAGGGTCTCCCAGTAGCCCCAGCTGTCCTCACTATGTAGACCAGGCTGGCCTTGAACTCACAGAGATCCGCCTGTCTCTGCCTCCTGAGTGCTGGGATTAGGGCATGCACCACCACACCTGGCAGCCTTTTCTGTTTTTTTAAATATTATTTTTATTTTATGTGTATGAATGTATTTCCTGCGTGTATGTGAGTGCACCTGTGTGTGCAGTGCCGCAGAGGTCAGAAGAAGGCTTCGGATTCCCCTGGAACTGGAGTTAAGGATGCTTCATAGCTGCTATGTTGGTACTGGGAATTGAACCTCAGTCCTCTGCAAGAGCAGTTAGTGCTCTTAACCACTGAGCCATCTCTCCAGCCCTGCTTTTTCTATTTTTAATTTTTATTCTTTTTTACTTTAAAAACTACTTTTTTTGTTAAAATTTAAGACCCCTACATGTGGTCCTTGGCCCATCTCATCTTCCAGCCTCACGGTGTAGCCCCTGGAAGGTCTTAGGGCACAGTAAAGCACATGGAACTGTCACCTCCTGTGACAGCAAGCCCCTCTTCAGAACACTCCTGAAAGCCTGTGGGGGCTTCCTTGAGGCATTGTTCTTTTCAGAAATACATCATGGTGGTCCCCCCCCCCTTTGCATCCTAGGTTTGCTTCTAAGCAGAGAATGCACTGTGAACATTCCTCTCTGTTAATGAAAACCTTTCGCTGTCGAGGGAGTCCTGTTTTCAAACTTCACAGAGGTTGTTGAATCTTCAGAGCTTCTGCTAGGCCCGTTACTGGGACATTTCTGGGGGCTTTTCCTCCTGCAGTTCCCTTTTCTCCTCATCTATTGTCCTGTTTCAATTCCTTTATAACCTGTGACACCACCATTGCATATGGATCATTGTAGCCCATGTTATGTACTTGTCTATAATGAAAGGCACACATCATGGCCTACGTGTAGTAGGAGAGAATTGTCAGAAGTCATTCTGCTAGAGCACTTGCCACAGAAGTATGAAGATTTGATTTCAGTCTCTAGAACCCACATTTAAAAAAAAAAAAAAAGCAAAAAAACCTGAGCCGGGCATGGTGGTGTACGCTTTTAATCTCAGCACTCAGTCACTCAGTAGAGGCAGGCTGATCTCTGAGTTCAAGGCCAGCAGGGTCTACCTAGCGAGTTCTAGGCCAGTTGGAGCTACAGGGAGACCCTGTCTCAAAAAAATAAAAACAAACAAAAACCTGGCTTTGGAAGTGTATTTGTAATCCCAGCACACGAGAGGTGGAGTCAGGCAAAACCCTTGGGTCACTAGTCAGTTTGTCTAGCCTACTTGGTGTGCTCCAGGCCAGTGAGAGACTTTATCTTGAAAACAAGGTGGGGGGGGCACCAAAAAAACCCCAAAACGTGGATGGCTCTGGAAGAACAGCACCTGAAGTTGTCTTCTGCCCTCCACACATACAATAAGTAAGTAAATAGGAAATCTATTTGGATAAATAGTGTACTTAATTCAATCTAACACTGGCTGGATTAAGTGCCAGAAAGAATGAATGAATCAGAAATATATATATATATATCTTCCATAAGAGCAGTCAGTGCTCTTAACCACTGAGCCGTCTCTCCAGCCCCAATGTTAAATTATTATAAAGTAATCAAATTCAATTGTGTGTGTGTGTGTGTGTGTGTGTGTGTGTGTGTGTGTATGTGTATGATGGAAGTTGAGTGTTAGGGAAGAGCTCTACCACCGAGCTACACCCCAGTCAGTAAGAAGAAACTTAGAATTTCAGGAGCACAAAGCCAGGTATAATGACATATGCCTGTAATCCTAGCGCTTGGGAGGATGAGGCAGGAGGATCATCATGAGTTCATACCAGACCAACCAAGGCTATACAGCACCTACCTCAAAAAGCAAAAGAGCAAAACTCCACAGGATTCCAGCCTTACAAGTGTGAAAACATTTAAGGCAAGTCGGGGATTGGGGCTTTATGTGGGGCTTGAAGAGGTTTGTCAGAGGCTTTGCTGGACCATGGAACCGCCACACCATAAGGAACATGAGAATAGGCTGGGTACCCTATAATCCTAGCAGGGTGAGGTAGACGATTGAGAGTTGGAGGCCAGCGTGGACTGCAAAGCACAAGTATTTCTCAAAAGCAGCAGCGTCAGAACACAGGGGACTGAACTCGCTGGCCTACCAAGTCTGAAAAGTTGAAACAATCAGATTTTGGCTTTTGTGTGGAAAGATAAGTCTATGTTCAAATAAAGAACGTGTCTATACACTGAGATGATTGCTCGTAAGATGGCCCCACAGACAAACACGTTAACACACTTTGTGAAAACACAACTGGTACCCCAATTATGATTATGCTAACATCATTAAATTTGATGTGAAATTTATTCAACAAATGTGTTGGATCTTTTTTTTCCTTTAAAAAGAAATACCTACTACATAGTGTAGACTATGTGTGCCTAGGCAGGAAATTTGAAGTTGGCATCAGAATAACTAGGTTTTGACAAATCGCTGATAAAAATGAGGATTTGACTTTTTCTAAGAAGCAGAACCTTTTTCCAGACTGAGGTTCCAGTGAAGCTTCGTTTAGAGTAAGGTTTTAGTGTGGCTGTGGCTCAGGGGTCGAGCCCTTGTCTAACGTGTGAGAGCTTCGGGTAGGATCCCAGCACTGTGGGGGAAGGAGCACTCTTCTTCTGTCTGGACACTGACTGGTGTGGTGGCAGTACAGCCTTTGGGAGTTGTCCTGGATGGCTCATCTTCCTTTGGAATAGTAGGCATCACTTAGGAACCCAAGCGATAGGAGCCTGGGGTGGCGGTATGCAGCTGTACCTTAACACCCAGAAGGCAGATGCAGGACCGCAATTCCGAAGCCATACTCGTATATAGCAAGAGCCTGTCTCAACAAAACAAACAATGTACAAACAACCGAATGAAAACCCAGAGCGACAAGGGGAACATCCTGCTGGCACTGTTTGACATTTTGACTGTGGCTTCCTGTGTGAGATTAAGTAGAAGGGTAGAAGTACCTAGTTAAGTAGAAGGACCTAGTTGGTCCCCCTCATACCCCCCCCCCCCCATGTAGCCATGC